TTAATTATTTAATACACTCTGTAATAGTAATTAATTAAATAGTAAATAATGACTAGTAATAGTATTTATCTATTAAGTAATTATTTAAATTATATTAATGTATTCAGTTTTTGTTTATTATTTCTTTTAGTTTGTTTTGTGTAAAGCATTTCTAATGATAACGGCTCCTAATGAACGAAGTGTTCTCTAGTATTAGATTTTAGTTTAATTACTACAATGTTTTGACTCAATCCATTGGATTCCAAGTGACAACATCTTAGATTTCATATTCAATTCAACAATTGATGTGATGAGAAAAGGAAGGATGTATGATGCTGACTACTATGCTCTTCTACCCTATTGTATCTTTACCTTATTAATTTTTGGTTCCTTTAAATGCCAGCACTTTCTCCCTTCCTGATGCTCTACTTTTTTGGCTAGGGGCTGCAAATGAACCGAGTCGAGGCCGAGCTTCAGCTGGCTCAAGCTCAAGCTCGTTTGCCAAAACCGTGCTCAAGTTCGGTTCAAAACTCGTCGAGCCTTCTTGGACGCTGTTCAAACTCGAGCTCGTTATAACATAGGTGTTCGAGTTCGGCTCGTGTTCCGAATTGAGCTCGTTTAAATTCACGCTTATCGAGCGGCTGTCTCCTCCCGCACTGAGCCCAAAATGATTTTTTTTAAAATTAAATCCAGCAGCTTGTTAACGAACGACAAAGGAAATCCAGCCGATCCCACCTGCTCGCTGTTCAGTAGCTGCTCCACACATGCCTTTGTTTTTATATAGCAATAATTTTTACAACTCAAGTGGACTAAACTCATAATTATTTTGTTGAGTGTTGAGCCACGTGTAGGAAGAGAGAGAGAGAGAGAGAGAGAGAGAGAGAGAGAGGGCGGGCGGGAATATAAAGAGGGCGGCGGGAGAATGAAAAAAAATGTAAAATAGTTATTAGAGGAGAGGCCATTTTTTTTAAAAAAAATTGTTAAATAAGTTATATAACTTTTTATTTTAAAACAAATAATAATAAAAAATTATATATATATATATATGTATATATATATATATATTTAAAATTTCTTAAATAACATGAGATTTAATTATCTTATTAGTTAAATAAGATATAATATTTATTTTTAATTAAATATGACATAATGAGCTTCTTTATCGAGCTTTTTAACGAGCATGTTCACGAGCTCTAAACGATATTGTTCGTGAACATAAACGAGCCGAACACGAGGTTTTTCAAGCTTGTTTATTTACCTATCGAGTATCTATCAAAGGTGTTCAAACTTGTTCGTTTACCTTATCAAACGAACATAAACGAGCTCTTATCGAGCCGAGCCACGAGTAGCTCGTCGAACTCTCGGTTCATTTGTAGCCCTACTTTTGGCTAACGGCTTTTTGTTGTTGCTACATTTACTATTTGCTAAATGCTAATCATGTGTTTTCCACCTCTAATGCACTCTATTCCTGCTATTATCACCTTTATTACACGCTGATTCCACTATTTTCATCTTTACTTACTGCAATTCTTAGTTTTGCTGACTCTTTGTTGGTGCTCTCACTTGCCTTTATTTTTTCATACCCTAGGTAACCCACATTGGACTTTACAAAGCAGGAGTTGGATTTTGTATGAAAGATTTGATGCTATTGGAATCAATGAAGGATGCATTGAAACCTATTGTATTTGACTAGATGTTGACTTATTATGAGAAATTTATTATTTTGGAACGTTTTAATAGGACTCTCGAGGCATGTAAAAATGTTGTGAATATTGAGTATTGCAATAATAATTTCAGTTTTCTTCAATTTTTATGTGTGTGCTGGTTGGATGTGTATTCTCTCAGTGATTCACAATTGGTGATGGTTACTTCTAGGAGCTAGTCTCCTTATATCATTGATCTTGCTCTAATTTCTTTATTCATTGGTTTGTGATTGAAAATTTATTAAGTGTGCTTCATCTCAAATTTTCTTTTCATGGTATGAATTTGGTCATTGATGAAACTTCTATGCATGTTCTTTTCGAATTTTTTATTTTGGCGACCATTAAATGATCATTTAGAGTGAAAGAAGCATATTTATTGGTTTTAAATTAAAACAATTTATTGTTGTTAAGTTCCGAGTTGGTAACTTTAGGATTGTGATTTGTGTGTTTTCATTATACATCTCATCCCAGATTGCATCCGTAACCTTCAACCCTTAATCATCCAACAACAATAATTATGTTTTACAACTATACACGCTATAGATTTGCTAATTTGAATGATGAATGGATCCCATCAATGGCATGCTTTATACAGAGGGGTTTTTTATTTTTTTTGGTCTATCCCAAGCTGAAACTTTGCATTTGATTTTTGTTCCATTCTTTGGAGTGATTATATTAATGGTCAGTATAGGTTTCGGGTGAGGCACGAATATATGCTATATCCATGTCTTTGAACACTTGCATATCTCTAATTATGTCCACTATTGTGGAGTAGTGGTTGTTGTCTTGTGGCTTATCCTTCACATGGGTTTATTTGATATAGATAGATTTGCTTGACTATTTTTTATTGGAATTGTCTATCTTCTTGAGGATGGAATTTGGATGACCCCAATTAGTGGGACAAAGGCTTGATGTTGTTGTTGTTGTCTATCTTCTTGAGGATGGAATTTGGATGGGCTTGGAGTTTTTTAATTTGTGTCCCCCTTCTATGGGTTTTCATTTAACACATTGCATTGTCCTTAGCTATTATGATTATTTGGGATTTCTATCAAAGGATTAAATATGTATGGATGGTCATCCACCCAATATCTCTGCTTAGGAGTTGGCTGATTCGGCTATTATGTGATTTAAATTAAAATAGGGAATTCCTTATTTTCTTTAAGAATTAATTTAAATTTAAATTGACAATGATCCAATAGCATGATTATTCAATAAATTTTACACTATAGGTTGACTGCCTAACACATCCCTTCATTTTTCTCATCAAGGGTTTGAGATTTGGCATCAACAGTGTTACTAGACATTTGCAAGAGGATGTACCTGGGGGTATGCTTTTTGCTGATGATATTTTTCTTATTGATTAGACTAGAAAGGAAGTTGATGTAAAACTTGATTTATGGATATCAACCTTATAGTCTAAAGATTTTTGTTTGAGTAGATATAAAACTGAATACATGGAGTATAAATTTAGTAGTAATAGATCTTGGGATGGGATTATGATATTGGATGATCAAGTTAGTAAAAAGAGTGCAGTTTTAGATATCTTGGGTCTATTGTTAAAAATTATAGTAAAATAAATGGGGATTTTACTAGTAGAATTCAAGTTGGATGGTTTAAGTGGAGGAATGCATCAAACCTATTATGTGATAGAAAATTATCCCTCGAACTTAAAAAGAAAATTTTTTAAGATTGTGGTGAGACCTATAATGCTTTGTGATGCAGTATGGTGGCCATCAAAAGAGAAGCATAGAATTAAGTTAAGTATTGCAGAGATGATGATGCTCAAGTGGATGAGTGGCATTACACTTAGAGATAGAATGTGAAACAATATATACATGAAAATGTTAATAGTAGCTCTAGTGACAAATAAGATTAGAGAAAGTTGCCTTAGATGATTTGGTCACATAAAACGTCGACTTTTTGGTGACCCTGTTAGGAGAGTAGATGTATTAGATCCGGCTTATGTTAAAAAAGATAAAAGTAGAAAGTATTAAAAATAATTTTTTTTAGTAAATTTAAATGAAAATTTGACTCTTAATAGTATGCAATGAAGAAGAATGATTCATGTAGCCAACTTCACGTAGTGGGATAATGGGTTCTTCTTCTTTGTTATTGTATTGATCCCAGGGCAATCTTATCTATTAGCTTGAGTTTTGACAAGTCTATAAATTGTTGTTTTGAAACATGTAATGTAAAATTTTAGCTCGAGTAAAATATCACTTTCTAATTTCAATCTTTTGAATATAAGTTGAAGGTGTGTTTTCTTTAAGTGCGATATAAGTTTGACTACTTGATTCGGGGGGAAGACATCCTCATGTACTGTTTGGAGTTCTGATCCCAATAGCTGGAGAGTAAAATGAGAATAATCATGGCTAGTGGTAGGTCTCGTAGTTTGGCAAATTTAATCTGCAATGATTACGGTTCCTAGAGAGACCTCCCGTTAGAGTGAAAGCATGCTCCAGAATTCTAAAAATAGATCCCAGAATATTGTTCTCCATGGATGCTTATTTTCCTTAATCATATAAGATTGGGATTGTTTGATTCAATATTTTCTTTGATTAAATGTTAATTTTTTGAGGTAATAAGTGGTATTCTCTTTGATGTTCTCTCTTATATTGAGGTAGTCCAAACATTAGTAATTATGATTGGGGTCATTTAAGTATCAATCTAATCGGGTACTATCTAGATTATCTGGTGGCTTGAATGAGGAGAAACAGGTTTGAATTACCATCAGTTATTCTAAAATAGCAGGGCATTCTCTTAAGTAAGATGATATTAAGGCTTCGTTTGGAATAGCTTTTTTACTATTTTTAAAAGCAGTTTTTTAGTATACAAATTTTTTGAATTAGAAATTTTCATATTAGAAAGCTGCTTTAGAAAGCAGCAAGGAAGCTGTCCCAAAACACACCATTTAAATGATAACACTACTATTTGAAAAGCATTGCCACCCAAATGACAATATTATTTAGTTAACATTGAACGAAACAGACTCTAAGCATTATATGCCTGGCATAATCTGCTGAAAATCATTTAATTACGCAATAGTGGTAATTTTATTCACTAAGGCTTTGTTTGGGATGACTTTCTTACCGCTTCTTAAAGCTGCTTTCTAGTACAAAAATTTAAATTTTTGTCTAGAAAACTGCTTTAAAAAGATGTAAAAAAGTCAGTCCCAAACAAATCATACATTCTAGGTAATCACAAGTATGAAACAATCTCTGTAAGAAGGTTCTCATTTTTCAGCTTTCCATGCTGAAAAACTGTGTAGCTTCAGACTTGTTTTCAGACTCTGATGCAAATGTTAATGAACTGCTGCAGGTCCTTTTGGAAGAGGCCAGATGCAGAAGCCTTTCGAGGAAGCTGCTTTTTCTCTGGGAGTTGGAGAGGTAAGTGGCATTGTGGATACTGACAGTGGCGTTCACATCATCAAGAGGACTGGCTAATGCCAATGGCCTAACCTTTTGCTTCAGAAAACTACTTATCTTACCTTCTTTCTGACCTTAAAATTTGATGAATAACTGTTGCATACATTAACTACAACTCAATCCTCTGAAGTCTAAGGCTTCGTTTCGGACGACTTTCTTACTGCTTCATAAAGCAGCTTTTTAGTATAAAATTTTTATTTTTTTTACTAGAAAACTTTTTTAAGCAGTAAAAAAGCTGTTCCAAATGAAGTCTAAATGCACATCTGTGCTTGTTTGTGCTCGGATATTCTCAATGGCTTGCCTGTTTGACAAGCTAACTATTAGCCATTCAGCTGGGATTTACTTATCAGTTTTCAAGCTATGTGAACTGAAACAATTGTTGGATTACTTTGCTTCTACAGTTATTATATTGACTGTTAGGCTATGCTCATTGAAATTTCATGATGGTATTGGTTATATTATCTTGATAAGATTTGCTTAAGGAAAATAATAGGGTTTGAGAGATCTTGTTGTGATGCCCTCACATCTTCTTTGTTGTCGACGGTTTCGGCATTAACAATAGAAGCGAGCATAAGGTGATAATTTAATAAATAGAAAATTTTGGTTATTAAATATGTAAATAGAATAGTTTTAGATGTTATGTATATATTTTTTTGTTTTTTTTAATATGTATGTTTTATGATTTATAAAGGGTGATAATGTCTTGTACAAAATTTTAAATTTCTGAATTATATATTTTTCTTCTATTTCAAAAGAAAGCCAAAGTTTATTGAAGGTAGGATGAAATTAATAAATTTATCTTTCAAATAAGTTTTAAGTGTGTTATGTGCTAACAAGTTTATGGTAGTAGAGTCATTTAATATCTTAATTTTATACAAATATTTAACAAATATTTGTGTAGAAGTTTGTAAGAAATATTTGATTTTTTTATGTGGTATTTTGATAATTTGGCTAGAATATTGATATCCTTGATCATGAAATACTTATAAATCATTTAATTGCTTTAATGGTATCATAATAAATTGATCTTTGGCTTTTTAGATTCATATCATCGAATTGTTTAATTTGATTATAAGCACGTAAGATTTGAAAACAATTTGGGCATTCAAATAATGTTCAAAAGTTTTGAAATATGTTTCAATTATTTGATTTGGGTTCATTTGACCTTAGATTGGATAATTTGTTTTGTCGATGCATTCATGTCATTGAGACATTTAGAAAACTAAAAGTTTGTTAAAATCAGAATTTGAATGATATTGAATTTAATTTCAAAAGTCTTTAATTTAAATATTGACTTGAGATACATACTAATTAAATAAGTTTTCTAGTGATGTATAATTTGCCATTTCTTATTTATGGATGTCGAAATTTGTGTCATCCAAAAATATATGTTAAATTCTTAATTAAAAAAATTGGCAACTCAAAATTATAATTTAAAAAACTATGAAGTGAACTGCACATCAATATGGAACACCACTTGGGGTTGTAAGACAAGTAAAATATCATTAATTATAATTGCAACTTTCATAAAATCGTTGTATTGTTGGAGCAAAAATTATTGAACAAATTTGGTCCAAATTCTTCAGTTCTACTTTAATTTGATTCTAGGGGTTGAAATAAGCTCCAAAAGTATCAAAATTAAGTCTAGAACATCCAAAAATGATCCCCTAGACCTTAACAATGTCTGAATAGGCCTGTTCGGACTCAAAATCTCAAAATCGGATCCCAATGAGGTCGAGCTAGCACAACCACCACTGCCTATACTTTACTAAGAATAATAAATTGTCCTTTGAAATTGTGGAAACAAAATCATATATCTCACATAATTTCCTTCATAAATTTTAGCAAAATACCATCCTAAATAGATAGTGCATATCCTCCTTACATGCTCTAGTGTTCCTACATCAAGAATACCAAACCACCCTACAAGCAAAGTTATGAGTGATATCCAAGATCTTCAATCTTTTAGCATAGCTTCAGTATTCATCTTTAAAGAGGGTTGACTGACTATCTCCTTTTTGAAAAATTACGATTCGAAAAATATTTCACCCCTTTTTGAAGCTCCAACTTTCTCTCAATAGGTAGGTAATTAATGCCAAAATTTGATGTAACTTATGAAAGAGACGAAGAAAAAATTTCAATTCATAGAGTTTTACTTTTAGCATGATATCAATGTTTGGTGTTGATATTTTCATTGAAATCATTGAAAAATTTGTCTCATTACATCAAACTTTAAGAGGGAAGAGAATGCTTGTTGGAAGTTGGTGTAGGAATTTTGACATGTAAATCTAATAGTTATGTATGTGATTTTGAAATATATATTTTTATGTACAATTTCAACTGATTTTCTCAATCAATTTGTTGGAAGTGAGGGATAATCTACCTTTGCATAAGCGTAATTCATATTTGTGAGAATTTACCTATGTGAGAAAACTGAACCCTTTATATTTTGTTAAAATCTTCAATATATTGCCCCTCGGTTGGAGCATAATGACCTTGATTTTTTAATACCACTCGAGATTTACATTTTAAGATTTTATTTATGGAAATAGTAGGAATTTGTATTTTTTTAGGCTTAGTTTTTTAAGATTGTTTGAAAACCAATAGAAATTGTTTCTTGCAAGACTAATACCTTCTGAGATTTTTAGAGGACCGGGAGAAAATCATATCTTATAAAGTGTATGCCTTCTAAGATATTTTTTAGAACTAAATAAATATGTGCCTTTTGAAGCTTTTTGGTGTACCTATACCTTTTGAGATTTATATATTCTAAAACTTTTAGATGATCATATAACTTTTGAGACTTATATCTTCTAAGATTTTAGGTATAACAATACCTTCTAAGGATATGCCCTTTGAGTTTGTCGATATAATTATTCCTTTTGAGATTTTTTTGATGAACTTGTATCTTCTGAAACTTTTATCTCTTAAAATTTTTAATTGAGTGGATGTACTATCAACATCTTACTTTCATGGAGCTTTTTTAATCAAGTTCATGTCCATTACTAACTTCCCATGAAGGATATCACATGGATATGCTTGAAAGATAATTTTATCTCCAATAGAAGTCAAGACATAAGCTCTTTTAAAAAAATTGAGTTGTTCAACTTCTTTGTGTTATTTCAATGATGGAATTTTTAAGTGTGATGGCACTCCTATTCAATAACTTCAATCATTGTATGTTATGACTCTTTAAACTCCTCAATTTTAATGCTGGTCATTCAAAAGTCCTTGACATATTAGACGTTCAATCCCTTCATTGAACTAAAAACATGTTTCTATTGAATGTCCTCTTGAACAATAATGGTGATATCATTGAGACTGGTCTCCACCATTGGATATTTTTAGTATTTTTGGCCACTTGATTTGTTCAAAATTTTGAATATCCATTATAATGTTAGCACCATATGTATTTATTAGTTAATGGAGTATACTTCAATGATTTAAATAAACTTTGGTAAGAAGTTCATCTTTAGTTATTTGTTTGCTTCTATTTTCTTGTTGAGGAAGTCAATCAATTTCTTTTGGTGAATATTTACATTTGTTTGAAGATTGTTCTAACTAGTTTAGAAGTATGTTGATGGTCTCGTCAGCAATTATTTAAGCCTCTACTTGACAAATGAGATCAACGTAGGAGTGTCTTGCCTCTCACATTAATGAGTAGAAAGGTCCAAAGCATATACCTTTAAGAAAAACAGATCATAGTAACTTTAGATTCACTCCGAGATCTAACATACTTTAGAATATCATTTTTAATATTATTCTATTAAAGTCCCTTGCACATTTTAATGAATCTTAGAAAGATCAGGAGAGTTTTTAATGTTTCTTCAATTAGCAATGCATTATTAGTCAACTTTTTTGGCTAAATTAACAAAGAATGAATATTTCTAGTTGATGGAGAGTGGAGTCATATGTGAGCATATGTTTTGAGAGGTTTGAGGGAGACTTGATAGAGGACATCATTAGAAGTATGTTTTTTTTTTTAAGGGGCCGTGCGTACGCGAACCCCCCTAACACAAATTATGACGTCCACTCTTCCACTTGGGCAGATGGTAGATCAGAGCATCTTCAAAGTGCAATGAAGACCTCTAATCTAGGTCACAGACATTACTGATCACCCGTTAAGACCCCATCCAGGTAAGTTGCATTAGAAGTATGTTGAATGTGCATGGTGATCCTATATTGTTCAATGTGCTCATAGGGGTTAGAAGTCCATCATATGGATCAATTATAAGCAATTTAAGCCTCACTAAAATAGACCTGGAAAGTTATATTAGTTAGGGGTGACAATTCTTGAAAGTTGTGGTGAGGGTAAGTTTGTTCTTTTCTCACTAAAAAAATCCTTCTTGAATGAGACATCATAACTCATTTCTTGTAATATCATGTGGGGCATCAATAAAGTGAGGTTGATTTAAGTCTTTCATAGATGTTGGAGAATAACTAGTTGGCCAAGCAACACAAGAAGGATGGGTTACATTCAAAGTGTTTGAGAGGACTTGATTAGGTTATGGTAACATGAGAATTACATCAAGAGAAGGTACTACCATAGTGGCATCATCCATAAATTATTGTTGATTTTATTGTGAGAGAACTCTATCATACTGTGATAGCTATATCTGCGAAAAAGTATTCCTAACATATTATAAATATTTCCTCAAAGAGTGGTATTCAATCCCTCAATCAATGGCACCACAATAGAGATGGTGAAGGCCCCATAAGCCCCAATTTGGATGATCGTATGCGTATGATGAAATAATTATTGCGTGTTAAAAAATTTGTAATAGTATAACACTTAATATTTTAGCTTTATATAATTATCCAGTATGCCTAGATAGAAGTTTGTAAGGGAGACTAGAATCGTTTATGCAAAAATCCAAAAAATAGAAAAAATCATGAGGCATGGCCCAGTTGAATGAATCCACTAAATAATTAAAGATATAAAAATCCTCCCATCCTTTCAATTGAAGAAGTTGAGCTTATATATAATTAAGAACAATTGTGTAATTTTTATGTAAGAATTTTATAAATTGGGTGTCTATAAGCAGATAGTTAAAACCCAACAATAAAGTTAGATATTAATAGTCAACCATAACAATTGAATGGCAGAAGCTTGGCGATGGTAATGATGATTGCTAATGATGATCGTCAATAGTGACCATAAATAATTGCAATATAATTCTTTTAACTCGCTCAACTCTCAAACCTCTCTTCAGGTAGAAAATACAACCTTATTTATAATATTTTTAGAATTATTTTTTAATAAATTTGACCAAAATTCAAATCATTTCATCGAGCTATGCATATTAATCTCCTTGATCATAAATTATTTATCAATAATTAAAGTGTCTTAATGATGTCATAATCAAATGATCTTGAGCTCTTTGAATTTTTCTCCTCAAGTCACTCTACTTTTATAGATCATTTAACCCTTCTATTGATGTTTAAAAGTTTTTAGATATACTTTAACTGATTGATTTGGATTTATTTAGAATCAAATCGAATCTTTTATGGAGTCAATGGATTCTTTATTGAAACATTTAGTTTAACTATAAATTTGTTTTTGAAAGTTTTCAATTCAAATATTACCTTAAAATTCATGCTGATCAAATAAATTTTCATAAGAGGTATAAAAGAGAGTAACTAAAATTCAAAAGATATTATAATTATAATTCTTTTAAATCATCTTTGTTGATATTTATATATATAATCAACTCAAAAAATAATGGTTCCTTTCAAATTATATTAATATAAAACTTTTTTTGACATATTTAACTTTTAATATTAAAGGATGGCATCCTTATATTTATATTTGAATGTAACATTTCTGGAAAATATTTAAAGATATTTTATATTTAATTTTCTTTTTTTCTAATTATTTCAGTTAAAAGTAAGATGAAACAAATGTCTGAAAAGAAATGTAATGTTGTTATAATTCTTGTATTATGTATTGAGATATGAATGCACGAGTTGTTACTTGTGTTCAAACACAAGGTCGTTTGACCAAGTATTTTTTATATTTCAGTTGGATTACATCAAGGATCAGCCATTCAGCCTTAAGCTCGTATCCTTTTGCTTTAGTCATTGATGTTCTCAATAGACATTTGCAAGAGATTGTACCCTAGTGTTCAGAATGATTGTAAAATATATAAGGATATTATTAGTAGAATTCAAGTTGGATGGTTGAAGGGGAGAAACGCATCAGGCTTGTTGTGTGATAGACAAATCCCCGTCAAATTTAAGAGAAAATTCTATAAGATGGTGGTGAGCCTTGCAATGCTTTATGGTGCAGAATGTTAGCCATTAAAAGTGAGGCATAATATTAACTTAAGTGTTACAAAGATGAGGCTGCTTAGGTGGACGAGCAGCTTTACTCTTAGAGACATGATATAAAATGAGTATAAACATGAAAGGGTTGGAGTAGCTCATTTGTAAGATAAAATTAGTGGGAGCCGTCTTAGATGGTGTGATTACATAAAATGATGGCCCGCCGATGACCCGATTAGCAAAATAATTGTTTTAGATTTGACTTATATTAAAAAATATATATAAAAATCTTAAAAAAAATGATTAAAAAATATTAGAAATGACTTTCTTTAGATTTAAATAAGAATTCGACTCTTAAAAAAATACATTAGAGAAAAAAAGATTCATATAGCCAACACCTCTTAATGATATAAAGGATCGATAAATGTTGTTGTTGTTGTTGCATTGATCTATGAATGAGATGCACGTCAAAATCAATAATAAAAGTTCTCAAGCATTTTATTGTGTTATCATTCAACAAGATAATTAACTATGACTCAATAATTTCTCTCTTAAAACAGTTTCTAATTCTCGAAAAATTAAACAATCATTTTTTTGTAGAGCTCATTTGATTATTGGCATATAATAATCATATGTTAAAAAATATATACTATTTATTTATATGTAAAAAATAAAACCATAGCATTTAAAGAATTTTATAGATATTTATAAAATTCAAATCAATATTATAATCAAAATGTTAAATTGACAACGGTTAGTTTGGGACAAATTTCTTACTATTTTTTAAAGCAAATTTTTACTACAAAAATTTTTTGAACTACAAATTTTTATATTATAAGACTGCTTCAAAAAGAAGTAAAAAAGTTATCCCAAAAATCTAAAGAATTCATCATTTGACTTCATACAATAGGGGCTCTTACAGTATCAGAACTTCCAGCAATTATCAAAGTTCACCATAGTTGGAATCAACAAGGCTTTCAAACTAGTAACCAACTAATTCTGTGAAGCCTGCAGCCACAGCCAAGCAGAAATAAAGAGTATTCAGCAATCAAAACTCACACTGGAAAGTCTACTAAAAGTTCACAAACAAAGCTCTCATGAGATGATGGATACAGTTCTTAAATACCAGAAATATATCACACGATAGGGATTTCAGAAGACAAACGGCAATTTACAAGTAATAATCACAACTCTCACAGCTCATAACTGTAGCTTATAGTGGCAAAATCTGATAGAATCACAATAACTAAAGAGGGGAAAAAAATATATGAAATGAACATTCAGCTTCTTGTCAAGAACTTGGTATCAATCAATTTTTTTGTTGAAAAGCACTCTGCTGAAGGCTTGGTCATCTAAGCCATCTCCTCTCTGATAAAACAAATTAGGATATGAAGATTAAATTGGATCAGGAAGTGGTTAATCAATTAGTTTGTTTTGCATGGAAAAGAAAGGAATGAGAACAGAAGAGGGTATTTATAATTGCAAAAGAAATTGTAAATTTGGAGCAGCAGCAGTGCCTTTTAAGTATTCTAACTAAAATAAGATTGAAAAAAAAAAACTAATCAGATGATTTATTTCTCATTAATAAATGCCAAACAGAGAATAACGCATTAATCAAGGTTTTATATTGAGATAAATATGATAATTCATTATTTGATGGGACAACAACAATAACAACAAGCCTTTATCCTACTATGTGGGGTTGGCTACATGAATCTTTTTTCTTCATTGTGTCCTGTTAAGAGTCAAAATTCTCATCTAAATCTAATAAAGAAATATCATTTTTAATATTTTCAAATCAAGTCTTTTTAGGTCTACCTCTACTTTTCTTAACACAAGTCAAATCTAACACATCTACTTTCGTAACACAAGTCAAACCTAATACATCTACATTCGTAACCGGGTCATCGGAAGGCCGTCGTTTTATGTGACCAAACCATCTAAGACGACTCTCTCTAATCTTATCTTCCACTGGAGCTACTACAACCTTTTCAAATATATGCTCATTTCGTATCCTGTCTCTAAGAGTAAAACCACTCATCCACCTGAGCATCCTCATCTTTGCAACGCTTAACGCCTTAACTTAATATTATGCTTCTATTTTAATGGCCAACATTCTGCACCATAAAGCTTTGTAGGTCTCACTACCATCTTATCGAATTTTCCATTACATTTGAGAGAGACTTTTCTATCACACAAGCCCAATGCATTTCTCGATTTCAACCATGCAACTTGAATTTACTAATATCCCCATCTATTTCACCATCACTCTAAACAATAGACCCAATATATTTAAAATGTGTACTCTTATTAATGACTTGATCGTCCAAAGTCAGAATCCCCCCACTAGATCTATTATAACTAAAATTACACTCCATATATTCACTTTTAGATCTAATAAAATGAAAGTCTTTAGACTCTAAGGTTGTCCTCTATAATTCAAGTTTATCTTCAATTCCCTCTCCATTCTTATCAACAAGAAGAATATTATCAACAAAAAACATACACCCAACCTCTTACAAATGTTTAGTGAGAACATCCATGACGAAAGTAAAAAGATATGGGCTTAAGGTTGATCCTTGATGTAATCCAATAGAAATAGGAAAATACTTGGACAAACCACCTTGTGTTTGAACATAAGTAATAGCTCCTACATACACATCCTTAATGACTTGAATATAAGCATTATTAACCCCTTTCTTATGTAGAACTCTCCAAAGCACTTCTCTTGGAACTTTATCATATGCTTTCTCTAAATCAATAAAAATCATATGTAGATCCTCATTATTCTCTCTATGCTTTTCCATCAAACCTTTCAATAAATGTATAGCTTCTATAGAAGACCTATCTGGCATGAATCCAAATTAATTTTGAGAAACATTAGTGTCACGCCACAACCTATGCTTCATAACTCTCTCCCATAGTTTTAAAGTAAGACACATTAACTTAATTCCTCTATAATTCACACAATTTTGTGCATCACATGTATTCTTTAAACTAGGAATCAACACTCATTCTCCACTCATCGAGCATCTTTTAAGTCTTCAAAATAATATTAAAAAATTTAGTAAGCCAAGAAATTCCTTCATCTCCTAAGCATTTCTATACCTCTATTGGAATATCATTATGTCCAACAACTTTTCCACACTTCATTTTCTTTAAAGCCTCTTCAACTTCGGTTTTACTAATACGCCGATAAAAACAAAAATCTTTATTTTCATCAAATTTTAATTTAATTCTCTTATCATGATATCAAAGCATGACTAAAAGCCATTGATCTCTTCCATATCCAGTCTACCATCTCATAGTCCCACTCACTAGCATCATTCGACATTGTAGGTGCATCATATTTTGTTACTCACACCCACATCATAATTGTATCACATGCCTACCATGCTTATCTTGTAGTTCAAGGTAGCACCCTACTCCCTTGCATGGCGCAACATATCTAATCATGCTAGAGAGCAACCAGTCTTGTTCTACTCATAAATGCATATCTCAAATTCACACATGCCTAATCCGTCCTACTCCCTAATGCACACCCATTTGTTGTTCTCCTTTAGACTAGACTTTTTTCAACATGATTTGAGTAACTCCACTCTTTAGACATCTCTCCTCAATGCATGTCTTTTATCTTTACACTTTTTGAAGCAAAGCCCTTCTCCATTAGTACCAACATCAAATTTCATGGTACCAAGTACCAACTATCTCTAATGGTCAAGGATTTTATTCCCCTCTTATTAGATCACAAGAACAACTAGGGTTTTAAAAATTGAATCGAACCGGCCGATCAGACCAGCAGTTTGGCTCAATCTAAAAATTGATTTTGCATCAAACTGTGATGAAACAGCCAGAACCGATGAACTAGTCTCAGTTCCCTTGAACCTGCTAGTTCAATTTTTAAAATATTTAAATAATTTAATAAATTAATTTAATACATTAAGAATTAAATATTAAGTAATATTTATAATTTAATAAATTAATTTAAATTTAAAATACTTAATTTTTGAATAAAAAATTTTCAACTAAGCATTTCACACGTCTCCACTCCATGTGGGTTCCCCAATCCAAACTAAAAAGGCAATATAAAGTGTAGCATTACTAAGAGAAAGTTATCCAAATGATGTGGGACTAAATAAGTTGAAATTTAACTAGCAAATAAAATATTATTAATGTGTGAATTCAATTTATTTTTAATAAAAAAATTTATTATTACATAATTATTCAATCATTTAAATTTGATTTAAATAATTTTCATATTTATTACATCATCCAGTTCAACTTCGATTTGACTCCGGTCGAACCATTGAACCTCAACCTCTACTGATTCTACGTCCGGTCCGATCTTTACAACCTTGAGCACAACTGAGTTCTTAGAATGGTAAGCTGATCTGACTTAGCTCATGAATAGTCTTGATCCATCCATTTCCTCTATTGCCCTGTTTCATGACACTACTAAAAAGATGTTGGATTTTCTTCATTTCATAAGTTTAAAACAGTAATATCCCATGGGTCTACAATCCATTTTGATAAAATTTTCTCCAACAAAAAAACCTATCAATTCAAGAGTATTATAATACCTTGAGAGAAAAATGGGATAAATTATTCCAATATCATCATCTCAATATTGATTTCTATCACTAGGCAAATATTATTTACAAGATTATTTTGTAACCAGAGATTTAAGGCAGCACCCTAAATACTATATGGGGACTAAATTTGCTAACAACAAGAAAGGGTCTCACTATCTTTAAAAGAAAAATATCATTGATCTGTTTAAAGAAAAAGGCTTTTAAGGAGGAAATTAGTCGACATCTCGATGGGAAAACAAATCAGATTTGATGCATATAATGATCTTTCACAATATTGAAAATTAGTTGAAAAACTAATTATTTAACATATATAAGAACTGATATCTCCTTTGATGTTGGAGTGGTAAGTCAACATATACAAAATTAAAAAAAAAAGCATCTGGATGATGTTTGCATTCTCATATACATCAACAAAAGCTCTTGGAAAAGAATTGTTGTATACTTAAATTGAGCATTAAATATTAAAGCATTCGCTGATATAGATTATGCCAGATTTATAGGTGGCAAAAGACCAATTATAACGTAATGCATTTAAGTGCTGCATTTTTGTGGGAGGTTATTTGGCTACCAGAAAGAGTACAAAGCAAACTGTTGTGGCCAAATATAGTGTTGTTGCAATAAAATATTAAGCCACGACCATTTTATATGTAAAATGTCATGGGTAAGATTCAGCTAAAAAGAATTTGATTTTCTAATAGTAAAGCCTTGGTTTATGCATTTTGACAAACATGCACTCATATAAATTGCATATAGGGCAATTTTTCATAAAAGGATCAAACACATTGAAGTTTATTGTCATTTTATGCAAGATGTAGGGATGTACACGAGCCGAGTTTGAGTGAGCTTAAGTGTCATTTGGCTCTGCTCATTAAATAAACATGCCAAAAGTTTTTGTTTTTCTTCGAATTGTTAACATTTTGATCCAAATAAGGGATGCTCCAAATATAAGGTATACTTGAAAGTTGGAATATACGTGTCATCGTGTATACGTATATTAATCCATACATATATAAATGTATGATTATGAATGTATACAATCTATGCAAATGTATTTACATATATAAACATTGAAATATATAAGTTTGCATGCATAAATATGTAGCGTTGTCAATATTTGACACGACCAAAAAACCCGACCTGAACTTGACCTAAAAATCTCGGATTCGGGTCAGCCCGTTTGAAAAGCGGATCGGTTTCGAGTCAACTCGAAAGCAAACCTAAAATTGACTTGGGCAGCACTCGCCTGCTCGTTGCGCTCGCACGCTCGTACCAGCACTTGCACTTGCAACCTCATTTTTGTGGCACTCACACCCGTGCTTGCGCATGCACTTACCCTCGTGGGCTCGGGGCCTCACCCCCTCAACCTTGTGGCCTCGCTCCCTCGCAGGTCGAGTCAACTCAGGTTAGGGGCAAGTCGGGTGCGGGTTTAGATTTCTGACCCGTTTGTCTAATTGAACTATATTCGGGTCGGGTCAAATTCAATTTGGACCCGAACCCGATCCAAAAACCCATTTTGACACCCTATACATATACACACATACATGAAGTCATAACCACACCACATATAAGTAGGCATGTGCATATGCATATATAAATAAAATCATGTGATTCAAGCCAAACATGATTGAATAAGGATTTATTTGTAGACAAATTATATATATGAGCATATAAAAACTAAGTGAACTTGAGCTAAGTATCAAGCCAAGCACGATCGGACAAAAATAATATGCTCTTTTGACAACCTTAATAGGATATTGTAATTTCCAAGAAGTTTTCTATTCCTAAAATTTTAATTTTAAAACAAGTGGCAGATATCTTCATCACAACTTGAAGTCCATTTTCTCGCGTATAATGCTAGTTTAAGCTATTGAATATATATGATCTAGATTGAGAGGAAGTGTTAGCATATTGGAAAATAATGTTAGAAAATTATTAAATAAGGAAAATATCTATTTTGGTATTAATTCTCTCCTAATCACATTTATTCACTCCTTAACCTTCTTCCTATTATATTCATTTCAATGACTGCATTATATACAGGCACCATTACTCACTGAATAAGACAGCAAATTACTATTTCTCTTCCCTTAACAATGAGCTAATTTAATCTAAATTAAATATTGCTTTGGTAGGAAACAACTTAATTAAATATTATTTTGGGAGGGAACAACTCAATTAAATATTACTTTGGGAGGAAAATTTTAAATTAGGGGTTGTTTAGGGATTTTGTAATCTTCTTTGCTTTAAATAGTTTCTCTTGTAATGGTTAGGTTTCATCTTGAATTCGGGCTAAATTTGAGATCTCTTAGGTTGAGGTTTCTTTTGGGCTCTAGCGTGTCTAGAGATTTGGGAGAGAAAGATCCTCCTCTCAAATAGAGGATCAATTGTATCTTATTATTTTCTTCCCTCTATTTGATTCTTGCAATTAAATTCCCGTTTTTCTCTAATTTTCCTTTGGATTTGTGGATATTTCTCGCAATTTTCCCGAGATTGATAAGATCTACTTGAAATCTTCAAGTATTTCCTATCATAAACTTCAAACATGCTGCCTCAGAACACGCCAATATAAAGATCAAGAATAAAAAAAGGATATCAGGCAGAGATGTTACCAGAAGAATTAGGAGGAGAATGAATCCCATTTCCCTTTATATTCTGTTGTACTTGTGAAGTTGACCTCTGCATTCGAGGGGATGAACCCTGCTTTCCATCCCCATTTGGTAAGGAATGTCTCTTCTTCATGTGATTATCTTTGTCATGGTGCATATCTAGACTTGATTTCTGAGAGATACTTGCGTTGACTTTAGCCCTTGCAGACTCAGTGGGCTGCATATAACTTGGAAGTAAATTGCCATTACTGGTTTGATGCTCATGATCAACATGATCAGTCTTAACCATAGAAAATGAGTTCCTCCTCTTTGCACTTTTTGTCTCCTTCTTCAAAAATTCTCCACTGGTTTGTGCACCTGAGTCATTCTTGGAATTCGTGGGTGAACTGTTAACAAGTAATTGGGACCTTCTCTTTCTTACAGGCATGTTATTTTCTGCCTTGATACTCTTTGCATCAATAGAAATTTGACTTGAAGGTGTCCCTTGAGACTCAGGAACAATAATATGGCTTCTGGGAGATCCTTCTTGTGATGGCTTACTAACCTGTGGAGCTTTTGCAGAATCCACCACCTGCGTATTTGATGAAATTGATTCTGCAGGTTGTTTTTCCAATTGTAAAGGTTCAGCAGTATTAATTGATCTGGCTGCATTTTCGCTGCTTTTGGCCATTATTTGCCACTGAATTTCATTTGAATCACTCGAAAGATCATCTGTTTCAAAAGCCATTTCTCCATTGTTGAGATTGGTACTGCTTCCAACATTACTGAATTTTCCATTCGAGGTTCTGATTTCTGGAACAATTTCAGAAAGCCCAGCCTCTGATCTATCAGGTATGGAAGTTGTTGAAATGTCTTTGCGATGTTCTAAGGTAGCAACTGGATTTATTGGAGTATGGCCAGTAAGATTTTCTCCCAGGCGAACTTCCTTAAATTTGGTACCTACCTGAAAGTTAACTGATTTTGTCTCACATATTTCCTCTAAATTGGAACCCAACTGAGACTGAACTGATTTGGAATCACTCTTGGAATCCTTAGAGGCATGATTAAGAGATCTGTTTGAGCTGGAAGCAGAACTCAGCTCTTCAAACTTAGCCTGTACAGCAGCAAAACCTGGATTTCTTGATTTTCTGGATTCAATCACGACTTGGCCTATTTCCATCTCTGGGGTTTCATGCAATTCTTTTTTGGCACCATTCTTGTTAGTCTCCTCAGAATAATCTGGTTTATTAGAGTTACCATCAAGTGCAAACTCCGAAACTACATCGGATGACAGAAGGATTTGGCTTTGAATAGAATCAGAGCTTTCTTCAACCAATGCGCCAGTTGCGTATTCTTCCTTCTCCTTCTTAATAGACATTGTCTCCTTAATATATGAATCGAGTTGTTCATTCTGAACTGGAGAGTTTGGAACATCAACTTCTATCTTTTCAGAACTGTTGGTTATTAAGTCCACCTCAACATCAGCTGGCCCAGCAGGATCGCTAGGAGCGAACTTTGAATCAGATGATCTCTGTTCTTGTGTAACCTGCAACTTATTGTTGACTTCATAAGCATCCAGATCAGTATTAATACCCTCTCCCAGATCATTCTGTTTCAAAATGACCTTTTTTTGATCTGAAGATGTTAAAGCCATCCACCGCTCCAACCATATCCATCCTGAATCCGGCCGCAAAGGATTGCAGCTGATGTGGATAGGTTTGGTTTCAAGTGTAGATTTCAAAAGCTGATCATAAACAGTAAAAGTAACAAGTTCATGTCATAGAGGCAAAATTACTGTTCAAAAATATATTTGGGAAAGCATAGCAGGATATCAACAATCACACCTGATTAGCAAATGCATTGGAAGCTAAGCTTCTGATCACAGGCGGTGTTTTGTTCAATTTCATTTCAAGTCTCTTCACCTGGAGTGAGAGTAAGAATATAGAAAAATCATATGAAATGAGCAAATGCAATTTGATACTATGTCATAAGTTAACAAAATACATAAGTTATTCCTATAAGCAAAAATTGAAGAAATATGTAAGGCAAGGTAAAAAAGACATTGAAAATAAAATCATCTCTGAATGTCTAATCATGAGAAAATTTGTAGATGAATTATTCTGTGCGGACGGCGAAAGCCGTCCAGAGCCCAATGAAAATTTACCACATCACCCCTACTCGGTACTGCGGCTTGGTACTGCTTGGTACCGAGCTCGGTACTACTCGGTACTGGAAGACGTGGCTGCACTTGATTGACCTCTGGACGGTAAGATATGTCTAGTGTCCGCACAGAATAATCTCTCAAATTTGTAACCCTAGTGCATAGGATGTGAGAAAAAGGGGCCTAATTAAAAAAACCATGCCCAAAAGTTTTCATCTCTCCATAAAAAACAAAATCATGTTAAGAACAAAATGGATCTTTAATTGAGCTCATCATGCTAGCAATATATTATTTGAATCAAATTACAAGATAGATATTTGGCCTACACATAACATTACTTAGAAAAGACCAACCTTCACTGCTTTCATTTCCTCATTAAGTTTCTCTTTCGCAGTGTACTCAGTAGATCGGATGGATAGATGAGCTCGTATAAGTTGTTGAATTTTCACAATAGCCAGCATGCAACGCAAGGTTCCAACTGCCTGCCTCCTGACCAAATAACGCCGTATGGCAGCTTGAAGCTTTACAACATTCTTAATTTTTTCAAGTTCTCTTTTAGCCTGTGAATATGTAAAATAATTTAAGGGACAACAAAAAAAGAAAAAGAAACAGCACAATAAACCTGTATGTTCATAGTGGTTGATAAAAGTTTACCAAGTATCCCCGAATAGAAGCCTGAACAACCACTGCAACATCTTCCTGGATGTTGTAATCAACATTAACAGTAGATTTATCAGTAACTTGCTCAGATTCTCTGGAAGGGACTACATCTAATGGAGAAATTGAAATTTCATTTGTCTGGTCTGCAACTGTAGCTTTCTGTGAAACTGAAGCTTTTTCTGAATTTACAGTATCAGCAGCTGCCGCTTGGTTTTGTTTATTATTCATAATGGGCATAGATTCTGAAATCACATTATTGCTTGGTACATGATGCATAGCAGATCTCTTCTGAAAGCTCCATCTATGCTTACCTGGTGAAGTTTTGCTCTGCAATAGTTCAACATATTAGGGTTACATAAGAAATATGAAGCAACAGATATGAAACATTCCCTTCATTATTAAGGATTGCTAGCTCTACTTAATTTAAGAAAAGCTCATTCATGGCCACCCACACAAAGAAAAAAATAAGAACCTAAACACTGCATCCACCTGCAAAAGGGTGCATCAATGAGAAAGAAATATTAAAATAATTGTTCTTCATCTGCATAGAACCCTCAATGATTTCCTGACCATTATCAACACAAACCAAGAGCAAATTGTGAGGAACAGTGCTCGTGTCTCACATTCAGAAACCCCAACCCTCTAGAAAACTTCACAAATTGTGATGGTAAACCAGATCGACCCAGACATTTCCCATATCATCAAAGAAACACTCCAAAAAACCCAAAAATATGCATCTCTCAGGCTTCAAGAAACAGATTTCATAATAAATAGTTAGGAACAACATCCAGGTGCAACCCTAAGCTCAATAAAACAACAGGGGGATAAAAATGAAGCTTTTCATCCATCCACAATTATCACAACTGTTGTTTAAAGCGCTCAAATTTCCAATCAAGACTCAAATCTGCAACAACATCTTATCAAATCAAACCACAATTCACTACTGCAGCAACGAAGATCAGCTGAACACCAACAAAAAATTGCATCACAAGAAAAAAAATCACATTTTTCAGACAATGCCGATGCCACAGATCTTAGAACGGCGCGATAAAGAAGAACCACAACAGATACCTCCGGCTGCGGCAAGTCATCCTCCTTCTTTGCCGGATCGCCGGCGCAAGACATGATCTTGAAGCAAGAGTTCAGCGATCTGCCCATCTGGAACTTCTTTACTGTCACAACTCACGACAGTAACTAAAAATCCAAACTTGGGGGAATGTGAGAAGTGAAAGCTTCGTTTCTCGAACAGTCACTGCTTTGGCTGTGTTCTCGATCAAATTCCACCTCAGAGGGAGTATATATAGCCATTATTTATTTATTTTCCATTACTGGTACCTGCTTTCTGAATTCGACGTGACGGACTTGGAGCTGCTACTTAAATGCGATTCGTTGATGCTTTTGACGTCCGCCGATACGTGATTTAAGGATAACACACTGTGCCGCTCGCATTCAAGTCCATGTAAAATTTCAGATTGGAAGAGTGATTTTAGGGGGGAAATTTTTTAATTTGAACTTCAAATTATTTGATTTTCATTAAATTTATAGTATATATAATATTTTGAATAATATTAATGTCATTAATAATATGATGAATTTGCAGTCTATCATAATATATTTTAAATCAGAATAATTTATTTATTATTTTATAATTCCATGTTTTTTTGAGAGTGATTTTAGGGGGGAAATTTTTTAATTTGAACTTCAAATTATTTGATTTTCATTAAATTTATAGTATATATAATATTTTGAATAATATTAATGTCATTAATAATATGATGAATTTGCAGTCTATCATAATATATTTTAAATCAGAATAATTTATTTATTATTTTATAATTCCATGTTTTTGTGATACTGACATGTCCTATAAATATAGATAAAATTTAAGATAAATTTGGAATATAAATAGATTTTTTATTCCCACATGAAAGAGAGTTGAGACCTTTGGGACTTGAACTTTTGTTTATGTCCTTATCTAGAGACTCAAGAAAACTATCAGTGCTTGAAGCATCCCGTAGTTCTACCCTGGCACCATTGCCAACAAACCCTTATCGTCCGACCACCACTGCTGGACCTTTGCCCTACCATCGTTGTCAGACCTCCATTTGACAATCACATCAAACCTCCAACCGTCGTCCGACCACCGCTTATATATATATATA